AGGTAGAGCTATGTAATTTTGAGACACTTTGAAGCCATTTAAGGGAGTTTTTGAGAAAACAAAGTTCTTGTCTCTTTGCTGGTTTTTCTCATGGTGTTATTACGCCCAAAGGTATATTATGTAAATAACTTGATTGAATGTGCATGTTAGGTTCATGGTATTTCTCCTGGCAACGAGTTGGCTTGTATGAAATAGAGCGAAGCAGATTTACTTACGTGTGCCTTGCCTCATCTATGGGAAATTGTGTGTTAATAATTAAAAAAAATCATGTCATGCTTAATAGAGATAGTTTGATAAGAGGAGATTTGAAAGTCGGGTAAAAATTGAACTTGGCAGCTTGGATGGTAGAACTGGAGTAGAAATTTTTTGAAATGTAGCTTTAGAAGAGCTCAAAATAAGGCAGAGTAAATCAGAACCTTTGAATAGGTCTGTTCCTTGTGTTAGTGGGATACGCTGGGAGGGCTGGGGAAGCCACACACATTATAAGGCCACAGAGTCAGAATGGTATACTTAGCTTTGTTTTAGAAGCTCTGGAATGAAGCTAAGAGTTAATAAGAGTAGAGGTACCCTTGCATAATCTTCAGTATTTGGGAGAATGTTTAAGAAATACTTGCTCAGGGAATTAATACATGGATTAAATAAATGGAGTCTAAATCATTTTCCAGTTCAAGATATTTTTTGTGGTCCCAGAAGAATCTTTTAAAAATGAGTATTTTATTCCTTATTGTAAAAATAGCATGGGGTTGTTCATAGCAATTTGGAAAAGTTTAAAAAGTATAAATATGGGAATAGAAATCACCTACACTTTCAGTAATCTGTTAGCTTTTTGGTTTTTCCTTCCAGTCTCCTTTCGTATTTGTGTTTAATGACTCATTAGAAACATTTTATTTTAAAAGTAACGTATGGTTGTTGTAAACGACAAAATTGATCACTTCAGACTTATAGAAATAAAAAGAAGAAGTTTGTCCTTCACAATTTATCTCCATAGGTAGTTAAAGGCTATTTTAAGTTCCACAGTGTGGGTATGACAGAGTTGGTTTAGTCTGGAGTTGATGAATGTTTAGGTGGTTCCCATTTGGTTTCTTTTTCTTTAATTTTCTTTTCTTTCTTCCTTTCTCTTCTTTTCTTTCTTTCTTTCTTTCTTTCTTTCTTTCTTTCTTTCTTTCTTT